TTCACAACCCTGTCCAGGTTTCTGCATGCCATGAGTATGATTAAATGAAATGTGCGTATCATAGATACAAATATGATTTTCTTCATAAAAAAACAAAAAAAAGTACCTCAATAGTCAAGAATAACTCACCTCCAGAGCAGACGCAGGGCAAGTAGACAGGTGAGCGCAGTATTTTTTGACCATTGTACCTTCGGCCAGGATTGTGAGTTTGCGAAGTGTTGGGTTTTTCTCGATTTGGGGGTCTCTGGCTAGGTCCTGTATAAACAAGCAAACTGACCAATAAGAAGTCTAAATACTGTAGCTAGAAACCTGTAGAAGAACCATTGTCAAGTGTTTTTTCAGCCCATTGGGAACATGCATGTAGCTACTGATTTGTATGCAATTAAGGGAAAATTCCATACTACAGCAATAAATAAAAGTCTAAAATTTGTACAGATACATGGTAGCTTGAGACTTGAAGATAGAATGAATGCAAACTCTGTCAAGAATACATACTTTGGCGATCTGCAGGGCCTGCTGGCTGCCTCTAGTAAATTGCAATGCAAGGGGAATCAGTTCTATTGCTTCTGGATCAGTGAGTTGATAATTGTGAAAGATTAGTTGAATAAACTTCAAGCTGTCCACAGTTCCACCCATGCGAAGACCTTGCAGGAGCCAATTTCTGCAGAGTAGAAAACAACTGACTATAATAAATCATAACAGACAAAGTGATTTAAGGTAGACTGAGGAAGTATTACAAAACATTTTTAGTCAATAAACTATATACAGCTGTGACGGTGATAGGCCCTTGCACCCAAGGCATAAGCTTGGGTGCAAGATGAGTGTCTCAAGTTAGGCTAGCTACCATCACTACCACCACCAAGTTTGCTCTGGCAATAAACATGGGATAAGATATGAAGTGGTGAAGGAGAGGGGAGCTTTGCTGCCTTTTATAAGATTAGCAACAACTCTGGTATATAGGATCTTCAGGTTTCCACAATACTTTTTGACATAAAGGAACTGTGGATAGAGACTTGCCTATGTATCTATGCACCTTGAGTGCTAAAGCAAATCTGCACCAGTACATAACATGCTAAGGTAAGCGCAGTGATAATTAAAGGCTCCATATGAGCTTGATCATTTTACTGTTTTAACAAAAAGCCACCTTGCAGAATTGCTGAACATTCCTTGAATAATCCACTTCCAGGGTATGTAGCTAAAATATACACCCACTCCCACAATGTTGAATGACCTATATCTAGACTTGAAAGCTGTCACAGGTACATGTCTAAGCCTAAGGAAATGCTAACTTTTAAAAATTCTATATTGACATAGGAAATTCTGAAAGTAGTTGAATTTATGTTACAATAGGTACATGATTAGACAACATACAGACAGATGTGGCTTTAAATGTATTGGTATACAGATCAGGAGTTTTGCAAATGGAATTTTGAGGAGATCAGCTATGGCAACCTCCAGATTTGTTTCTCTTGATAGATAGACAAATGTTTTGCACATGCTTTACTTTTATTTTGTATCTAGCTAAGCTCCAGGAATAGAATGCCAAGTTGGGGGCAGCATACTGCAGAGAAGACCACTGTGTTCTGCATGGGAGCAATGAGGCCTTTGCTGACTGCAGAGCTATTGGTCTAACCCAGTAGGTAAGCATGTCGGAGCTCTGTGGAGGGACCCCTATTCCCACACAGATTGCATAGGTTCCATCTCTTGCAAGCTCCCTGGTCTTAAAACTTTTGCTATGCCTAGAGCAGAATGGGGCAAAAATAAAATTAAGGCGCGCGCAAAACTGCAGCACACTTATTTATCACTAAAGACTGAAACTTCTATTGGGCTTTAAAATTTATATGACACATATGACATTATTATGGAGTTATGAAGCTGAACAAGTGCAGAAATGCCTTTTATGTTTGTAAATTCATGTTACCACTGTTGAGTAATCAGTAAGTTTGGAGTATGTTGTTTTGAAATTTCTAACTTCTTAGCAGACTCCTTAGCAGAAAATTGCACTAGGTTCAGAATGCTCAACACTGCACTGCGCATTTGCAGATAGTTATCCATTATGACCCCACCTTAAGACTACTGTGTATTATATTATGTAGAAGGTAGTCTAGACCAGCCTTTTCAACCAGGGTGACGCAACACCTTTGGGTGCCATCTAGGTTCTTCAGGGGCGCCATGGAAAATGCCTAAAAAAAATCCCCAAATTGCCCAAAAATTATCATCAAGCTGATGAATGGATCAAGCCTTCCCTTTTTTGTTACACAAAGCCACAGGTTTTTATTGTGCAGTACTACAACCTGGGTCCCCATGGAGACCAGTGGCCAGCACCCTAACAGCTAAAGATGTCAGGCACCTGGAGTATGTCAGGCACCTGCAGAGCACCCTTTTTTGTCCATTCCCTGCTCCTCTCCATCAGCACTGAGGTCACGTTTGCTGTGTAAGGGAGAGAAACTGAGGCAGAAGAGAAACACTGAAAAACTAGTCAGTACCAGTGAGCACAGGTATATTTGCTTTGTGAAAATAAATCACCTTTAATGTTGAGGGTCCTACATGTGTGAGTGTTTGATGCATTATGTAAAACTAGTTTTACACATTTTAGAAAGGGGTGTCTCATGATTGTGCATACATTTTTTAGGGTGCCTTGAGTTGAGAAACACTGGTCTAGACAGTGACAAATATGTCAGGAGAATGCTAATTTAGTTATATCGAACTACTCTTCATGTATAAGGCAGCCCATACATTGATCATCTTTTTCATTCAACCAGTGGGTTGGACTAAAAAAAAAAAAAAGATCTGATTCCCCACTCCTGCTGTGCTATTGTGTTCTGACAGCAGGAAGACTCCTCTGCAGTCAGGATACACTGATTAATTCTTCTGGCCATATCCACTGGCACTGATCATTCAGGAAAACCCCAACAGGCTGGTTGCACACAAGTCAATCGGATGATGTACAATGGTGTACAACCAGCCTGCCCATACATGGATAGAAATTTGGATGGTCCCTGCTGAACCAGCCACATTTTAATCCATCTATGACTGTCTTAAGTAATTTTTTCTTGGGGACACGTTACCTTTACATATAAAGAAAGGTAGCAAAACAATGTCCTAGCAACTACTGTGGTCCAAATGTTCAGTTTGTCTGGCTGTTTGGAAAGATGGAGTTTAGTGACAATAGGCACTCTTTTCCCAAATATGGGCAGACTTGGTGGAATGTAGGCAGATCAGAAAAAGATCTTGGACCAGTCTTTAGATTTACAGGATAGATTCACCTTTAGTAACATGTTACACCTGTATTTAGGGCGTAATATGAAACATGTTACTATGCAGTATCCTCCCTCTCACCCTCATCACACCCTGTTACAGAGGATGGGTTTTTTTTCTCTACGCACCCACGGTCTCATGCCCACACAGCCATGTCATTCATTCACAGTTCCCTGTGACAGATTCAGGAGACAGACCTGTAGTATCACAGAACTGCATGCATGCTGATCAACGTGCTCGTAGTTCATTCACACTGCCTACAGCTCAAGAACTGTCTGCCCATACAGAGGTACAGGCAGTGCAGTCTGTCAATGCACCCGCAATCCACTGATAGTAGGTACAATGCTCTGCCGACTCCTGTCAAAAAAATAATACAGTAAATGCACATTTCTTTTTCTGCAAAGAGATGTACAGTTATTATTTTGTTTTAGAAAAGGTGAGCTTAGCCTTTAAACACTAGGAGCTACGACAAAGTGGGCAAGGAGCTTGCTGACCTGTGTCTTGGTTTTGGAGCAAGCTGCTTCCATGTGGTGTGGAGAATCTCGGGAGAAGACATGCGAAGCAAGCTGAACTAGTTCCATGAATTTCATTGATGAATCCATATGGATCTTCCCCTTGTTGTGATCTACCAGGTGTTGTACAACGTGCTCTATCTGATAGGAGTAAAGCAGAGAACCAGTCAGATTTGTGAAGTGAGTCCCAGAACAAAGGCTGTGAAAATCTTAATTCAGTTACATTATATAGTATATTCTGTCAGTTTTATATGAAACTACCAGGCAAAGAACAAACCAGGCTTTAGCAATTTACCTGAGCCTCAATGTTTTTGTTGCTAACAAGAATAAAAGAAATCTGGTGTAATTCTTCATCAAAACTGTAAAAGATATTTCCGCGGTTGTGGAGTTCAATCTGAGGGGGGCTTGATTGACTGCTTCTGGTTCCAAAAAGGATCAGGACTTGCCTAAACACAAAAAGACACTTTAGAATGACTTTCTTTACAAATATAGCAAACAATGGCTACTTCCAGTTCCCACTGTGTTATTAAAGGGATATCCACTGTTAGTATGAAAGACAAAATTCCTGGCTATTAAATCTGTAAGGAGTGTCTTTTGTGAGTGTAGACAACGTACATCAGAGAGGTTCTAAGGGTACAGCATTTCTGATCTTGGAAATCCATGAACAGGTGGTTTTCCAAAGTCAGAACTGTGTCACGATGAACAATTCATCTGAATACCCCATCAGGCTCCATAAAGGTCCGTGTTAAATGACCTTGTAGCATGCCATCATAATAAAGTGGCTTTCCACTTTCTTACTGAAAGTGAAAAACTCTTCATATGGGGCCATACATTTTGAAAATGATTTACACTGTTAAATTATTGTAATTACTAGGTTACTACTAGTAGCCTCCTAATTGTAGTAGATGCTAAACAGATGTGAATTTGCAGGAGGATTAAAGTGGTAGTAAAGTGTGTTTTTTAACTTGTACCTACAGGTAAGGCTTACTTGTAGGCACTGTAAATATCTCCTAAACGTTCACTATTCAGGAGATATTTGCCTGTGTAGAGCACTGGTGCATGTGCTTTGAAGGAACGGCATGCCTGTGACGTTCCTTCAGTGCTGTGTGCTGTAAAAAGTGACTCCCACGTGCATGCGCAGGAGTGACGTCATCGATGCTCAACCTTCAAGCCACTGGAGTCCACAAACCAGGAAGAGGGATCGAGTGAAGATGGAAGCCCTGTCAGCGGTGACAGCGTGCTGCTGAAGAGCTTCAATTTAAGGTAAGTTTAACATAATGTGCTATTATACGATCAGGGGTGGACTGACAATTCATGGGGCCCCCGGGAAATAGAGGATCATGGGTCCCCTGTGTCCTTGCCCAAACTCAAAAAAGACTATGAAAAAGGTACCAGGGGCATCTCATGGGGCCCCCTACTGACCCAGGGCCCTCGGGCAGTGCCCGAGTTTCCAAATGGTCAGTCCGCTCCTGTATGCGATACATACTAGCACATTATGACATTGCCCTTGCAGGGGAAAACTTTTTTTTTGGAGAGTTCACTACCTCTTTAAAGCGGTAGTAAACTCTGCTGTAACATTTTTATTTTGGGGCCCAGGTGGATTATGCCATAATGTGCTAGTATGCATGGCATATTAGTATTTTTGGTGAAGACTTACATGTCAAACGGTGCCCTCCAACGCTGCGGTGGGATCGATCTGGAGTGCCCCCAGTGCTTCCATCTTTGCCTGGTCTTCCTTCTGCATCCCGTAGCGTTGTGATAGGCCGGAATGCGATGATGTAACTCCCACGCATGCGAATGGAAGTCATATCATTGCGGCACAGATCGGGGCTGTAAATGCTCGCTGAGCTGTGTACATGACAGCTGACAGGCAGGAGGATGCATTTATGGCAGAAGTGACCAATAAGGTCTCTTCTGTCATAAATACCCTGCATGTCAGCAACTTTTTAGAAATTGACTTCACTTCCACTTTAAGATGAATTTAATGATGAATACTCACTTTGATTCCATTGTGGCACCACCATTACGTTCCTGTAGTGGACTGTAATTTATCATGTGCTGTAAGACAACCTCCTGGATGATATTGTTTTTCATCCTAATTTTGGATGTTGCAGCATTACGTACATTCCTGTGCATCTAGATGAAGAAAAGAGAGGAAGTCAGTGATAAAAAAAAAGGGGACTACTTACAAAAAAAAAAAAACAGAGAATAAAAAATATTAAGAAAGGTGAAATCCATAGAGACCAGTCAGCAGTCATCCTTTAATTTATGGGAACATAAAATGAGGAATCTGATTGGTCATTGTGGACAGCAATTGCGCATTTAAATCTTATTTTTTTCCCTAAAGGTTTTTTTTTTGTATAGAAATAAACTGTACCCTTTCACAAGGTTCACATTTGTCCAAGAAAACCATTCCAATATTCTTTGATACTTTTTCTTGGCAGTTATTGTAGTCTATGGTTTTCAGAAGAACCAGTTTGTCTTTCAGTCCCTTTTTGACCACATATCTCGTATGACAGACACCTCCAATGCTGGTCTGTAATTCAGAAAGAAGTAGATAAATTAACATTGAACATTAAAAGCACGCCTCAAACATTTTCTGCTCTTAAAGTGTATCTGAAATACTGAGAAGTTATTACCCCTGTCATATTTTTTAATTGCTGTCTGTATCCCCTTTAGGGGATATACTTTCTCTGTTTGTCTTGGCGATTACCATCACTGGGACTGAAAACTACATTTTGCATTGCCACCAGAACAGGAGTAGAGGGGGAATCTTCCAATGGAGACATTTGTTCTGTGAGAGCTGTCTACAGTTCTATTTCTCTCACATTGGACAGATTTCCTCTAACTTCCTGTTGTCTCTACAGGACAGGAAGTAAAGAGAAATATCTCCAATAGGACACAGATGATAAAAAAACCTGACAGAGGTCTTTACCATTCCCTAGTCTACCCATAATAAAAAAAAAAAAAAGGTTTTGGGTAACACTGCCTTTTTTTTTTATAATGTAACACGTGTCCACCCTAGCTATTTAGGCCTTGTCTTTAAATATCTATGTCCCATACTGATGGTTAAAGAGGAAGTTGTATGGTGTTCAGCACATGCATGACAACCTTATGAAATAATTTATGGAACCTATGAGGAATCATTAAAGAAATGCTTCTACTCTACACCTCTGTGTTCATATTTATACCATCCAAATGCTCTTGTTGAACTAGACATATATTATATTCCCTAAAAATAACAACAAAGAATGAGCAAAAGCTCAGAAACAAACACCAACCTCTTGCAGATCGTATGTATTCTGGGACATCTTGATGTTGACATTGAACAAGCTGAGAATTCCTTTGAACATGTTGAGGACAAAATCTGAAACATCACTAGGGGCAAAGATGTCTCCAACACGTCCATTGTGATACTCAAACTCGATGTGTTTGGAAAACTGTTCAGACAGAGCCTGGCTCAGGCTAGAGGAGCGAGTGAATGGATCTTTGGGCCACACACCCGTAACTTCTTTTATATTAATAGACACTACCTAAAAGAGAAAAGTATCAGTAGTTTAAGCAGTGCTAAAAGTTCATGAAAAATACATTTAACATAACAAATTTCCAACTATGAACATTTAAATAAAAGGTCATGTTTTTTGGGGTCAGTAGCTCCATTAAGGCAACACTTCAATCATTTGCACAAAGCAGATTATTCTAACCTATTTTAGAAGTGTAATTATTTCCTGGAATTAAATAAAACAAGGATATTATATTTGCTCCATGCACAGCTTACTGAATAGTGAAACAGGTAAATACAAATCTTAGCACAAGCAATTTCAGGTGCCAGAAATAACTGAAGTAAACATTACATTTTTTTTGGATGATTATGCATAAAAAATCTGGGAAAAATCTGTTTGATGCAAGGACCCATCCAGGTTTCAATTCAGAGAAAGGCCACCTAGACCTAGGCCTAGAGTAGATAGCCATGGAGAAGGAATTAAAAAATTCTCACTCTCCAAGACATTTTGAAGATTTTTGAATGCAGCGCTGTAATGATTGTAGATTAGAAAACAAAAAGTGGAAAAAGACGCACACCAGGGCCCAGCCACTACTTTGCAAGGTAAAGATACAGCTTCAGCCTGAACTCCTCCTGCTCCTCTGACATGTTTTGCCCCACCTAGAGGCTTAATCGTTGAGATATAATGATTTTGATGATTGATTATTTAAATATTAATGTCCAATCCAGTGCTCCAATATATTCATCCGTGATTCACAGTTTATTATCTTCCATGTCATCTTTACATCTTCAATCCCGTGTGTCATTCTCCACCCAAACTGAAAATGTACTGCTGTGCTCCATTGTGATTGGACTTCACTCCCAGCAATCATCAGTTGTGCTCTGACCTTATTATATTGGACCTAGTGATTAGTAAAGCTGGCCATAGATGGTTCAAATCTCAGCCAGTTCAGCAGGATTCAAACCATGGGCAGGCTGATTGTACCCAATGTTGATTGTTGTACAACTTGCATACAACCAGCATGTCAGATTTTTACATGTCATTATTGCCAGCAGCTATAGACTCTTGCAATAATCACTGTGTTCTCCTGACAGGGACAGCTCCCTGTGCCCCCCCCAACAGGGAGAACATAATAGCTCCTGGCAGTGTTGATGGAGAATCAAGCTATTTTTTCTCCCGCAATTCATGGTTGCAGGAAAGAAAATTGCATCATTTATGGCCTGCCTAAATCCAAATAGCGCTTATTCCCACCAAGGGTTCATCACCATAAACTGTCCAGGAAAATTAACTGATCCTTCCCACAGAGGGTTAACCTCGCAGTAGCTTTGTCTCCCAGATAAGACAATGCACTCAAATCAAATAGCATTGAGAACTCATAGTGCTTTCAGTAACCAGCTCATTTATTAATAAACAAACTGATTCCAGAAAGCAGTATGAGTTCTCTCTGCTATTTGTTTTGAGCGTATTGTCTTACCTAGGAGGCAAAGCCACAGTGAGAATAACTAATCAGTGCAGGTTAGCTACAGTTTGAGCTAGGATATATCACAGTGCAGGAGTAAAAAAAATGAAACACTCTCGAAGACATGCAATAAAAATCTGGTCCATGTCTATAAGTGTAATTTATATTAGGGTCCATAATATCTCCCAATTGCTTTAGATTCATTTGTTTTTATTACCTTGAGTAGGTATCTCCTTTGACCATGAGCGCTGATCTCCAGCTTAGCAATCATATGAATTCCAGTACGGCCAAGGTCTTTTTCTGGAAGTCCGATCATGGTAGAGGCCTCATAGCTGTATATTGCTATTTTATTCTGGCTGAATGTAGGATCTGTGGAAGAAATCAATTGTTAATTGTGAGATGAAGACAGGATTTGATGGGGCACTTGATGGGATACTAAACTCTATATATTTATTCTATATATTTAAAACAACATTGCCTCTTTTGCATGCAGTGTTAAGGCCCAAATGTTTGTGAAGGTTCTCAGTTATGAAGATCATGGTATAGTTAGTAATAGCTAGTAACAAACAGCTGGACTTGGTCTGTTAAGTTGACAACATTTTACCACTTGTTCAAGTATCTACTTTAGTTCTAATGAAGTTCTTGGAACTGAGGAAGCCACTTAAAACGTTAGTGAAATGTTTTCAACATTACAGAAGACATCCGGTTAAATGTGACTAACTACTCTTTGCTGTTAAGGACAGGGGGTTGGCATCATGAGTGGAGCAATAAAAGTTAATATTGTTCACGTTATGCTTTATTCAATATGTTGGGATTGGTATATACTGCTATAGCTGCAGTAAAAAATTTATAGATGGCCTTGCAGGGCAGAGCAGGTCTTTACCAGGTCTTGTCATGAAAGGAAATTGGTCTTTAAGAAATGTACGGTAAGTACATTTCTTAAAGACCAATTTCCTTTCATGACAAGTTTGATATTTTATAAAATGGAATGAATAATACTTTTTGCCTATAAAGTGGCAAATATTCCTGGTGGAAAAACATTACAACTCTAAACAGAAATCTGTTGGTAGTTGGCAGTAGATTATATAGTATATAATATTTTAAATGTTTTATGTTGCACTATGTATAAAAACTTACTAAAGAGGCTGAAAAGTGCATTAAATGATAAGTAAAGTTATAGTTACTAAGTAAAATATAATTTGTAGTTATGACTATAGTTATATTTTTTATTTTTTTATTGCTGGAATTATTGTCTGCTAAAGAACTATAGTTACTTGTACATTACAATTTTTATCAAGAAAAAAATGTATTTTACTAAATATATTTGCAATGTAATTAAAATGTAATGCACAAAACCAGGTTTTAATGCTATAATTCTATAAATCTGATTGTACAGACAGTTGAAAAGAAAAACATTTTTTTTTTTTACCTATTTTGGCATGCTCAGCACCTGTTTAAACAAAAACAAAATGAAAAAGTGATGTTAAATACAATCCCAGGAAAAAAAGTGTTTAAAAAGCATTAACATATTTTATGTAAAAAATATGCTTAGAGACATATTAAAGTAATACTAAATAATTTTCCCCTCCCTCCTAGATTGTAAGCTCCAAGGATCAGGGCCCTCCTAACCCTCTTGTATTGAACTGTATTGTTGCTGTATTGTCTCCCGTTATATTGTAAAGCGCTGAGCAAACTGTTGGCGCTATATAAATCCTGTAGAATAATAATAATAATAATAATTTAAATATTAAATCAATGTATATTCAAATATTTACTAATACTGGAAGACTCACCCGCTAGTGCGAGCACTAGCGCTAGGATGATTCCCCTCATGATGATGGTGAATACTCCACTAAGGACATCCTGGGGTATTTATAGTGGAAGCTCTGGTAAACGATCTCTGGACACACCACTTTTGGCAAGCTACAGTGTGCTTATCGCTTTTGGCTAGCCAACAATTTCATAAATTATTACCTTTCCAAAAAAATAAGGGCATCATCCTGCACATTTAATAACAAAGATATTGTAGAAAAGAAAACATTTTTACATGTGTATCAACACATATAGATAATCTGCATAATTTCTAAATGTTGGTTATTTTTTATTTTTTTAGCTTACGATACTGTTAAGTTAGTCTTTTTTGTGATAACATACAGGTTAAGTAAACTTTGTCCTGGTCACTGTGACATTTGGACAGCACAGCCTACAAGTCACATTAACCGTGCATCATCATCAGATCCAAGCATATAGACATTTCATCCCCAAGGGAACCTGATGGTATATTTCACTTAAAAGCATCTTTTTATAAAGTAATAAATACACAATTATCTTAACATATAATTATTATGTAGGAATGTAGGAATGAAAAATAAGGAACAAGAATCCCATATATTTCCTAGCAAATCTGAATGAAATTGTTTGATTTATAAAATTTAAAGGAAACTTGTACTAAGAGATATACGGAGGCTACCATTACTGACATAACATTTTGAAAATGCATGCATGCTGCCTGGCTGACATGAAGATCTAATATTATCCTTAAAAAAGAAATGAGGTCTGGGACAATACATATAAAACATCACTTTTAATTTATCCGTTAAAAGTTGTTCCAAACAAGTAACAAAATATTTTTAGTGATAATTTAAAAGTGAAAGCTGTCTGTAGCTGTTAGGCTGGAGATGCCGGCACTGATACATGGAACCAGCTTTGGAGAGGGACATGTGCAGTGTTTGGCTGCAGCATTCTATGTGAGCAGGGGCGGACTGACAACTCATGGGGCCCCCGGGCAATAGGGGATCATGGGGCCCCTGTGCCCCTGCCTAAACTCAAAAAAAGCCTATGAAAAAGGTACCAGGGGCATCTCATGGGGCCCCCTACTGACCCTGGGCCCTTGGGCAGTGCCCGTGTTTCCAAATGGTCAGTCTGCCCCTGTATGTGAGCAGTCTTAATAAATAAGAAAGATTATGCACATGAACTCATGACAAAGATAAACAGTAACCACAGCAACTGGATGAGTGAAATATTATAAACTGATTAAAAAAAGAGACTAGCAAAAATATAAAATAATATATAAATAAACCACAATTCATAAAACTCTCCTTCGCCTCAAACTAATTATAGTATATGAGCAGCACAGTGGCTAAATGGTTAGCATTTCCACCTGGCAGTACTAAAGTCGTTGGTTTGAATATCCAACCATGGCACCACCTGCCTGAAGTTTGCATGTTCTCCCTGTGCCTGCGTGGGTTTCCTCCAGGTACTCGGGTTTCCTCTCACACTCTAAAGACATGTTGGTAGGTAAATTAGACCCTGTCTAAACTGGCCCTAGAATATGTATGTATGAATGGAAGTTAGGAACCTTAGATTGTATGCCCCTTGAGGGTTAGGGACTGATGTGAATGTACAATATATATGTAGAGCACCACGTAAACTGATAGCGCTATATAAAGTACCTGAAATAAATAAATAGTATAGTTCTAACTTCTAGTTCCTTGTGGAGACCCACAGAAGCTAATGTATTTAACGTGAAGATCCAAAAGGTCTCATGGTGACAAAACCCATGGCATCTTTTGAGTTACACAGGGTAACTTATTCCATGATCCAAACTTTAAGACCTACAGTAGAATTGTAGCCCTTTAGCGTGAAATGTCTCAGGACACTCTGTTGTCCTGCTTGATGAGCCTCCCCAAATCTGCACCTACATAAGTGTTCTGGTGGTTCTTCCTACATACAGAAGATCAAAAGGGCAAGACAAGCAGTATATCACAAACTCGGTGGAGCAGTTATAGAAAGCTTGCATGGGGTATATTTCACCACTACAGTCAGAAAACCTCCTTTTACTGTATTGAATATACTTGTATATCATGTACTTCCTCTTCCCGCACTGGAAGATACCAACAGGATTGCGACAGAAACTAACCAGGGTGTTGGCTATATCATAAGTCAGCCATAGATACTGTTAAATAATCTTGATATGTTTCAGTCTTTTTAACTATTTCACAAATGTGTTCAAGTCCTGAAAAAAAAAACAAGGAGATGTGAGGGCAAATTGATCCAAACAAAAATAGAGAAGCTGAATAGGGATTTGGAAGGTTACAAGCAAGCACACATCTTCTCCTTGAAAATGAAGCATAATCAAACTATAGTGCCCAGAACCCTCCTATATCACTCATGAGTCTAAAACCAGTGCCCAATTTCAATATTGGGAGCATGTGAAAATGTAAACTACGCCCATCCTTATCAAAACAGAATCTGAATTGTAGTGTCCCCTCTAAACCCTATAAACCTACCACAACATAGACTAAAGAGATACCCATTAATACTATTACCAACATGCAGACAGCATGTACAACACTTACACAGAACAATATATGTAAGAGGTCTGTCTCTGGGGATACGCACACTATACAAAATGTTGTCATCATTACTACTGGAGGCCCAGTAGTACATCAGCTGATCATCCCATCATTGTAGAAGCAAGTGACCTGGAGACTCCAAACCATCCCATTGACATTGCTGTTTCCATCATTAACCATTCCTCACAATGAAGATAGATTAGTGCGGGATTCAACCAGCAATGTAGAACAGCGCCTAGGTGTAAATGAGATGTTGGATTCCACACCAGGTAAAAATGGGCCTTTTTTTAACATCCCCCTCTGCAATCTTCCAAAGGAAAAAAGAAAGCTAAGAGAAAAGGAAGAAGAGTAGGGAAATCAAAGAAAAAGGTAGAAAAGACTTACCCCCCAGGTACAGCTAGAAAGTTAAATCTTTCTTCCCGTTCTCTGTTTGATGATGAAGTGTCTGTGTTGAATAAAAGACTTAATTTTGTTCCAAACAACAAACAATCTATACAGTATTCACATAAGTTCATTCGTAGTCTCATAGTCAAGAGATTTTATAATATGAAATCTAATCCCCAGACATATGAAGGGCATCAGAATCCCAAGGTAGAGAATGTCCAGCATGAGTTGAATGACAATGAAAAATTGACTATCAACATTCTAGAGCAGGGGTGTCAAACTGCGGCCCTCCAGCTGTTGAGGCATTGCAGGGCTGACAGTTAAAAGCATGACACCCAAAGGCAGAGGCATGATGGGACTTGCAGTTTCTCAACAGCTGGAGGGTCACAGTTTGACATCTTAGTTCTAGAGCAGGGGTGTCAAACAGGTGGCCCTCCAGCTGTTGCAATACTACAAGTCCTATCATGCCTCTACCTTTGGGAGTCATGCTTGTAACTGTCAATCTTGCAATGCCTCATGGGACTTGTAGTTTGGCAACAGCTGGAGGGCCGCCAGTTTGACTCCTGTGTTCTAGAGGAGTGTTTCTCAACCTTTTTTTTAGTCAAGATACCCTTTAAAATTATGGACAGCCTGAGGTACCCCTTAAAATTATGATAGTGTTGAGGCACCCCATTCTAAAATGCGGTGCCTCCAGACTGTCCATAATTTTAAAAGGGCACCGCATTCTAAAATGTGAAAAATTATGTGACCCCAGCACTAATGGAGAAGGGCAGGGGAGGGTAAAACTAGGATGCTGTGCAGGCAGCTGACATCCTCCTTATCAAATGATGATGTCATTAGTTGTCAGGATGCCGACACTAGAAGGTCGTAATGGTGCGCAATGAAAACCTGTGGCTTTGTGTAACTAAAAGGCACACTTGTTCCATTGCTGGCTGTATAAACATTTTTGACAATTTTTAGACATTTTGCCAAGGCACCCCTGAAGAAACCTCAAGGCACCCTGGTTGAGAAAGGCTGTTCTAGAGGATCTCCTCTATGACAATGAAATAACTATAAATGATGTTATCTCTGAAGCTAACACTTCCTCTAAAAACACAACTTTTAAACCTAAATTGGTATTCTACCTGACACAAGCTACAAAACCATTCCTAGAAGCTTACTATCATCTCATGTATTCATAACTGTTAAATTTGTGTGACACAGCAAATGGCAACATGATGCAATCCTTTGCCCACGACCATAAGAATTGATGCCAGGACCTTTCTTACTACAGTATATATGCGATACTTTATACCTCCTAAATACATTAAAAAACCTACTCTTGGAAATCTTCATACATTTGGCTCTCCATACAGTATATGTAAGCTTTCTATATACAGCAATCCCTCATGAAATAAGTTTATTTGATTACAAGTTCCAACCTCAATCCAAAACAGGCCCAACTTATTCTAAACAGTACTAAGCTCTGTCTGGAACATACAGGCAGTCCCCGGGTAACGAACAAGATAGGTTCTGTAGGTTTGTTCTTAAGTTGAGTTTGTATGTAAGTTGGAACAGGTACTTTTCTTAAGTATGACTTCAGCCAAAAAAATATATTTTTTAAGTTTTGGATAGCAAAAGAAAATGCAGTGATGTGAGATTGCTAACAGGTCTGCCGGACAGTAGGTGGCAGCATGCGGTGAGCAGCAAGATGGGAGTCCGGCACTTTCCAGAAACAGCATGACGTCATGCTGCCTCCCTTCTTAAGTATGATTTGTATATAATTCGGATGTTTGTAACTCGGGGACTGCCTGCAATTATTTCATATTTGATGATGAATATTATCTACAAATCAAAGGTACCGCTATGGGCACGAGTTTCACACCCAGCCATGCCAACCTCACCATAACTGTATATGGAGCAATAAACCTTTTGTCTCCCAAGTTATATTTTCTGTTGTTATAAAGATAATATGTTACCATTTGGACAGGCATTCCTCTTCTGTGTCGAGTATTGTAACGGCAATAACTGGGGCTCACCTTTGCCTATGTTTGTGACCCTTCCTCATTGTTTTTTTAAATTTGGAATTGGGACACAGAGAGGGAAATATCATATCCAAAAACCATTTAAAGCCCAGAGTTCATACTTACATCCCCTGAGCTGTCACCATCCCAAATGAAAGAACAATATCCTTAGGAGCCAATTTTGTAAGATTGTAGGCTCAGAAAAAAACTGCCCACTTAGTCAAGACTATGTCATTCATGGTTAGACACTAAAAGCTACATTTTTAGAAGGATGCTCTGAGGAATTAGTGGAGGAAGTGTTCACTAATAAACTTGATCCACGACCACCCTCAAAAAAACAGGAGCTTCTTCTATTTATAATGTAAAACTTATCAAACCGTTCCACTCAAAATTAAGACATATGGAGCTTATTGTGAGAAAGACAGCCAATTCTATTCCAGGATCCTAATTTGAGTCCAGTATTACCCCCAAAACCAAAATTTTTACCAAAAGGCATCTAATATCAAAAATAAATAATATAGCACCCAGTAAAATCAAAACCATTAGGATTACTTTCTGTCACAATCATGTTAGTATCTTCCAGTGCAATGCAAGTGACATGCAAGTATATCCAATGCAGACAAAGGATGTTTTCTGACTGTAGAAACAAAAAATATCCCATACAAGTTTTCTAAAACTGCTCTACTGAGTTGGTGATATGCTGCTTGTCTTGCTCTTTCAGTCTCCTGTAAAATCAAAACCTTTTTTTACTATAGGTCAAAAACCACCAGAACACTTAGGTGCAGATTTGGGGAGCATAGAAGGCTCATCAAGCAGGGGATACTTCATCATAGGGTCCCAAGACATTGCACCCAAAAGTACAAAAAATATCTACCAAGCTCTTAAAAACTGATCTACTGAACTGATATTCCCCCATGTAACTCCATAACTGAAAAGTTCCCTAGGTTATGAAAAACCACCATGAACACGATTAGATCTTCACGCTAAATACGCTTCTCCTGTGGGTAGCAATGAAGAATTTGAAGTTAGCACTATGCTATAATTAGTTTGAGGTGAATGGAAGTTTTATGAATTCTTGTTGTTTATTTGTATAATATTTTCTATTTTTGCTAATCTCTTTTTTAATCAGTTTTTAATATCTCACTCAATTGATTACCATGGTTACTGTTTATCTTTGCATGTTTAATCTTTCTTATTAAG